GACTCCATCTTGTTAAGAATGGAGTGTCCCTAACCTTCCCCCATTCTCCAGCTCTCTTCTGTGCTGTCCTCTGAACAGCTGAATTGGGTGGCACCCACCCTGTTCCTGATTGCACTCTTCTGAGACCTCCCCTGGTCCCTGGTGCAACTTCATCATACCCTCCTAGCCCTCCACCACCCCTGACTCATGCCTGGCTCCCTTAGCTTTATCTCCCTGACCCCATGTCCAGGTCCTAGTAGCACCTTAGTCACCCTGCCTCACCCGCATTGCTCTCCTAGCATTGGCGGTACTGTTTGCTGAGGAGCCAGGCCTGGTGTTGGAGGTGCAAGAACCTGACCTGGCTGGAGTGCTTCAGCGCTACCGGGGTGCTGGCCTCTGCTGCTTAGATCTGGGCCGCACGGGTGCGGCTGGGCCCCATGCCATGGTAAGGAAGCTCAGCAGGGAACAGTACTTGTGGGCAGTTGAAGTGAGGAAGCCTTGGCTTCTGCACAGCCGTGGAGGAGCCTTCTCATCTCCTAGCCCTTGTTCACTTTGCCTTCCCCACAGGTCCAGGTGTCAGTGAATGGGGTTGTGACTGTGGAGGAGCCTGTTGGGCAGCTGCGAGCCCTCTGGGAGGAGACAAGTTTCCAGCTGGACCGGCTGCAGGCAGAGCCATGCTGTGTGGCCCAGGAGGAGCAAGGCCTGAAGGAGCGGACGAGGCCCAACTATTGCTTACCTGCAACCTTCCCTAAAGCCTCAGTGCCCCAGGAGCCTGGTGAGGAAGTGTGCAGAGGCCTGGGTTCCCCTGGGCCTGCCCTGGAAAAGGTGTCTGGGGAGTTGGGCTGGGGAGGTGACCCTCTGGCCTAGAGACACTTCCTCTTTAGGTGGTCCCAGCCCCCGAGTTGCCATCTTGAGAGAAGAGGGTAGCAATGGAGACCGGGAGATGGCAGATGCCTTTCACTTGGCTGGGTTTGAGGTGAGCAAGATGGTGGAGCTGGAGGGACTTGATCTACCTCAGGGCATGTGTCCTCTGACACCTCCCCTGTCCTGCAGGTATGGGATGTGACCATGCAAGACCTCTGCTCTGGAGCGATCGGGCTGGACACATTCCGTGGTGTGGCCTTTGTGGGTGGCTTTAGCTATGCAGATGTCCTCGGCTCTGCTAAAGGTCAGTGTGCAGGCTTGTATTTGCTGCCTCTACCACATTCCTAGGGTTGCAGATTAGCCTTAAACCTCCACAAAGCCAGGGCACAGTGGACACGCTGGCTCAGGGCCAGATGCTAGCCAAAGACCTGAGGGTAACTTAGATGAGGCTGGAGGTTGGATAGGGTTGTGCGAACCTGGAGGGCATACATCTAGCGCAGGAGACTGCTGCTGCGCAGCTTGAGCAGGTTATCACGTTAGAAAGATGGCTCAAGATGACCAGGTCCTTCAGTGTTTTAGGAAAAGCCAAAAATCCAGAATTCATGTGTGAAATCTTATTTTTAAATGTTAGGTAGCTGGGTGTTGTTGCACATGCCTGTAATTCCAGCACTTGGGAAGCTGAGGCAGGAGTATTGCATGAATTTGAGACCAACCTGGGCTACACAGTGAGTTCAAGGGCAGTCTGAACTACACAGCAAGACCCTGTCTCAAAAACCCCACAAAATAAAAAAACTAAGTCAGGCAACTAAGTGCTATAAATATTTTTACAAATTGCTAGTGAAGCCAAAAGAAAATTATGGGCCCAGCATTTGCCAACATTGAATGGTGAGGCAATTGCTTTTGCCTTCCACTTAACCAGAGTTCCGCAGGAGTGTTTGCTGGAGTGGAGGAGCAGCTGTCCCCCTTTATGCCCAGCTTCCTCTTTTCTGAGGTCTTCCACATCTCACCCTGACTTCTCTGTTCCTTCGTAGGGTGGGCAGCTGCGGTGACCTTTAATCCAAAGGCCAGGGCTGAGCTGAGTCGCTTCCGGAAGCGGCCGGACACCTTCAGCCTGGGGGTGTGCAATGGCTGTCAACTGCTGGCCCTGCTGGGCTGGGTGGGAAGCGACACCACTGAAGAGGCAGGGGAGGTGGGCTGTGACTCCTGGCCAGTCCAGCCCAGCCTCCTGCTGTGCCACAACCTGTCTGGGCGCTATGAGTCTCGCTGGGCCAGTGTGCATGTGGGGCCTGGGCCAGCGCTGATGCTGCGAGGGATGGAGGGTGCTGTGCTGCCTGTGTGGAGTGCCCATGGAGAAGGTCAGGCCCAGGGAAGGATGGGTGGGGCCTGGGTGCTGAGGGAGCTTGGCTTTCACTTCCCTCTTCCTTTCCTCCTAGGGTACATGGCATTTTCTTCTCCTGAACTCCAAGCCCAGATGGAGGCCAGTGGCTTGGTTCCCTTGCATTGGGCCGACGATGACGGAAACTCTACAGAGCAGTACCCTATGAATCCCAACGGGTCTCCAGGAGGCATGGCTGGTGTCTGCTCACGTGATGGCCGCCATCTGGCTCTCATGCCACATCCCGAGCGAGCTGTGAGGCCGTGGCAGTGGGCGTGGCGGCCCTCTCCATTTGACACGCTCACCACCTCCCCCTGGCTGCAGCTCTTCATCAACGCTCGAGACTGGACCCGGGAAGGCTGCTGATCATGCTGGGAGGCGCCTGCCCCCACCTGGACCCAGTGTTGCTGCCTCCTCTCCCCTTTGCACTCTCCCCTGTGCCTTCAGGGACACTGTACATGATTTCCAGAGTCTCTTGCACAGATGAGGACCAAAATGCCAAAGCTTCTGAGCCAGTTTGCTTTTCTGCCTGCTTGAGCCCTGCACAGCCTGGCTGTTCTCAGGGTTTCTGTGCCACATGGTTGGTGTCCTCACACCAGGGAGCAGCCTGTGGCTCTGGAAGGAGACTACAGGCAGAGTTAGCTTTAGGGGTCAGCAGGTGTTCCTTTGGTCCTGCCTCACTTCCCCAGTGGTCACCTTGTGCCTCGTTCCGTCACCTGGGCTCTGAGGGATGTTTCATGTCACCCTTTGTCATGAGGGTTCAGAGTCTGGGGACAGAACATGTAGATCAGTCCATTCTGACTTCATTATTCTCTTCTGAAAACAGCAGAGCTTTCTGGGTTCCTTTTAAAATGTACTGTCCTGGTTCATGGTTGTACCACCCTGAATGTGCCTGATCTTACCTGAAATGGCTCTGCCCTCAATATAAGGAATTGCTGATGGGGCTGGGGAGATGGCTCAGTGGAATAAGCACTCCCCTGGCAAGCACAAGGGCCTGAGTTCAAGCCCTGGTTCCACAAAAAAAAAAAATTGCTGTTGGCAGAAGTGTCCCTGATAGGGTTTCTGGCTGTGTGTCAGGGCCAGCCTGGTGCCAGGCTCTGAACTGTTTTTTTTGTTTTTTGTTTTTTGGTTTTTTTTTTTTCTTTTTCAGTGCTGGAGATCAAGGCAAGAGCTCTACCACTGAGCTACGTCCCCAGCCCTGAACTCAGGACTTGGTACATATTTCTCCTAATGTAGCAGCTCCCTTTCTAATAGTACTTGGCTCCTTCATTTCAAAAAGGGCACCCTTAGTTTATTAGTCCTACCTCGCCGTGCCATTTATGTTCCTTATGCCAAGCAGTGGCGTTTCTCTTAAGGAGTTTGTGTTCTAATAGAATTTAAAATAATAAACTAGAAATAGTGGCACATGCCTCTAAATCTCAGCATCCAGAGATTGAGGCAGGATGGATGCTGCAAGTTTAAGGCCACCCTGAACTGAATGGTGAGACCCTGTATCCAAAAAAAAAAAAAATTTTTTTTTTTTAAGTAATAACTGTATGTAGCACTGCTGAACGAAGGAGGTATACTTTTTTATCCCTCCCCCCTCCTGCCCCACTATCAAACCCAGGGCCTTCTCACTGAGCTATATCTTCAGCTTTTAAAAACTTTTTTTTTTTTTTTTTTTTTTACCGGGGATTGAACTCAGGCCCTTGTGCTTGCCAGGGAAGCGCTTATTCTACTGAGCTACCTCCCTGAGAGCTGGGATTACAGGCATGTTCCATTTCTGCTGGCTTAATTTTTTTTTTTTTTTTTTTTTTTTTTTTTTTTGGTGTGGGGATGCACACCTGTTAACACCAGCACTTGGGAGATTAAAGCCAGAGGATCGGAAGTTCAAGGCTAGCCTGGGCTACATAGTTCAAAACCAGCCTGAACTACGCAGCAAGATCCTGTCTCAAAAAGTGAAAAGCAAAAGAAATTTTTTTTTTTTTTCTGGGCTTGAGCTTGGCAGTTCTCCTGCCTCAGCCTCTCAGAGTGCTGGGTTAAGGTGTGTGCCAACACAGCTTTTTTTTTTTAAAGGATTATGGTTAAACTTGCCTAGGGTTTGGTTTGGTTTTTTTGAGACAGACTCTGGCCATGTAGTTCAGGCTGGCCTTGTAGCGGTTCTGCCTCAGCTTCCCATGTACTGGGATTTAAACTGTGCAGGGTTGGTCACAGTTTGAACGACAGCCAGAGGCCCGTGCCCACCAGCTCCTGCTTCCTAGGGCAGCATCAGCAGGGTTTGTTGCTGACTGTTGTCCTCACCCCTCGCCTCCTGCACTCTCATGGATGTGTGTAGAGCTCACTTGCTCTTGGTGGTTCTGTTGCATAGCTGTAGTCAGTTGGCTCCCTAGGAGCTGACATCCTGATGAGAAGAATTTCCCTGAAAATGGTGACTAGAGTCTTAGAATCTGTGGGAAATAATGTGTCTGCAGGGGCAAGAGGAGGGTAAGCACCAGTGCTGGGAGAGTAGCTAGCTCACTAAGGAGAGACTGTGATGAAACTGTTGAATTGTAGGACTGGGGCTGGGGCCGTGGCCCAGCAGTAGGCCCTTGCCTAGCTTGTGTAAGACCCTGGGTTCCATCTCCAGTGCTGCAAAAGGAAAGCGAAGAGGCCAGGGAGATGGCTCCGTAGAATAAGCACTTGCCTGGCAAGCGCAAGGGCCTGAGTTCAATCCTTGGTTCCACCAAAAAAAAGGAAAGGTTCTGTGTGTGGGCAACATAACTGGTGTTTTTCTCAGTTTTGTGAAATAACTTGCCCTGAATAGTGTGGTACTTCTGAGGATCGTTTCTGACATTTGAACATTCCCTGCTGATACTGGGGAAGAAAATATATCTATTATAAGCTTGCAAGGTCAAGTGTGCAGTTCGGGTACTTAGTCCAGGTGTCAGGTTTACTGTGTACCTCATGCAAAAGTAGACAGCTAGTGTGAGTAACCTAGTTGGCTGTCATAGGTGAACTTGCATCTTTGGAGGTGGGGCCGTCTCTGGTTTGGGTCATCTTAGCCAAGCAATACTGACCCTCAGATGCTGCCAGAAAAAAGGCTGCTCAGCTGCTTATCCTTTGTTTGTTTTTTGAGACAGGGTCTCACCATAGTTCAGACTGGCCTTCAGTGCGTGGCAGTCCTCCTGACTTAGTGTCCTGAGCGCTGGGATTGCAGGTGTGTACTACAGGCGGCAGTCAGCTTCTCATCTTTGTTTTCATCCTGTGGTCATACAGGCCTGTCTTCGCTGGCTCCTGACTGAGCTTCTGTTTCTCCTCCATCCTAAGGGAAAACAGGATGGGAATGAGAAACAGGTACAAAATGCCAAGCAGGTTGTCAGTGGTAATGTGCTGTGAAGGACCAGTGAAGACCTCTGTGGTCCTGTGCCATGGATCTAAGGACAAAAGCTGTTTGCCTCAGAGTCTAAACCTGTTCCTCAGTGTCCTGTTATTTGGTGTCAGCCAAGTCAACAGTTCTAATCAAATTGTTTGTTGGACTTGGCCCTGGCACAGTGGTGCCACATGCGTGTATCTCTTCTCATCTGATCACTATCGTGTTCACAGCTGGAATCTTTTTTTTTTTTTTTGATGGTGGTGGTGGTGGTGGTGGTGGTGGCGGTGGTAATTGAACCCCTGAACTTTGGCACTGAGCAACATTCCAGATTCTCCTCTTCCCTTCCCTAATCCTTTTTTAATTTTGAGACTTGCCAAAGCTGGGCCCAAACTTGTGGCCCTCCTTTCTCATCCTCCTGGCCTGCTGGGATTACAAGTGTGTACCACTGTGCTTGGTTTCACCATTGTAAGCTTACATTGACAATGTTTTGACGAAAGATCTCTCCCGGGGCCAGGGAGATGGCTTAGTAGAATATGTGCTTTCCTGGCAAGTGCAATGGCCTCAGCTCAATCCCCAGTTCTCGGAATAAAAAAAGAGGAAAAAACTCTCCAGTAGAATATAAACTCCGTGAGCATGAGCCTTTACTTTCCATTGCCTCCTACTGCCTGGTGCCCTAGTAGGTGTTCAATAAATGTAAATGCTGAACAAATTTATATGAATGTTTAACGGTTGACCTAGATTTTTCTTTAGTAGAAGAGTGAGTTTAGTGGATCTGGATTGGGTTTATAAGTAGTTTGGTTCTGTGTATCCCAGGCCTTTTCTTCACCCTATTCATTTAAGTCACTCAAATTTACAAAGTTGTTGGAATTTTGATTTTCATTTTTTGCGGGAGTAGGAGTTGAACTCAGGGCTTCCATACTAAGCTAGATCTCCAGTCCTTTTTTACTTTTTATTTTGAAACAAGGTGGTCACTAAATTGCCCAGATTATAATCCTATCTCAGCTTCCCAGAGTGCTGGGATTACTGGTGTGTACCATGTTCAGTTTAGCTGTATTTATCTTATATGATGGTACTGGGGATTGAATCCAGGGCCTTCACAGCTATATCCCCCAACCCTTTTCACATTGTTAACTTTGAGGCAGGGTCTCACTGAGTTGCTAAGTGGTCCAGGCTGGGTTTGAACCTGCTATCTTCCTCGGCCTCCAAGAGTGCTGGGATCACATGCATGAGCCATCACACCTCATCCAAAGTTACAGGTTCTTGGTGTCAGATCCCATGAAGGACACTGGCCTGGTGAGGAGATCAGTTAGTTTCTTAATGTAATACTTGCCCGGCAGTGAGTCAGACAGAAAGACGGTTGAACACGCCTTATGGCCACTTAGAGTCAGGGCTAGGTTGCTGCAAGACTGGCAGGGATGAGCAGGCAGATGATCGTTTCAGAGTGAAGAGTGTGAGCAGGAGGGCCCGGTTGTCTACCTCCTCTCAGCTAGCTCCCCATTGGTTTTCTTTCTTCTCTGGGTCTGGACTCCGCACTCAATCCAGGTCCTGGGGGCGAAAGCAAAAAAGTGGCCACCAGGCAGTTAGGAACCTGTTAGGTTGGGGAGGAGGTCTCCCCTGGCAGCTGGGCCACCAAAAGCTCAGGGACCAGTTAGCTTTCCCTGTACCAGCTGTATTGTAAATTGGCAGTCACCTAACAGTCTTCATTCTGTCTTTGGACGTTTGGGGGCAGCAAATGCCCAAGCACTGCTGCAGGTGGGATGAGGGCAAGCACTGCTGCAGGTGGGATGAGGGCAAGCTCTGGTGCCTTGTCTGGTGCCTTGTCTGGGACTTCAGGAAACCTGTGAACAGCCCTCGGGGTGTGCTGCACACGAGCCACCCTGTCCTACACAGGCCTGGGCTTCTGAAGCTCCTGGTCCAGCTGGACGAGCAGACAGAATGGGACAAACTGATGTGTGACTGAGAATTCCACTCCATCACTTGGGCAACAGTTCAGAGCTCTGCCCCTGGAGCACATGTGAGAGCAGTGGACCTGGGACAAGTGATTTCAAGCTGATATCTTTGGGGGCAGTTCAGGGTACTTTAGGAATTCATAGTGGGGGATGGAGGAATCTGCTGCCATCCTGGTCTGAACAGAGACCACTTTAGATCCTTATACCTGCTGTGCTTTTACACCTACTGCATATATACCTTCGTGGCTCAGAAAACACAGCCATACCCTCTAATTCCCAATCATTGTTTAGTCCTTTTTTTTTTTTTTTTTTTAAATACATGGTCTAATCCTCGTTTTCGGCCTCCCAAACTCTGGGATTACAGGTGTGCACCACCATGCTCAGTCTTTAGTCCTGCTCTTAACAACATGTAACTCCTTAAATGTCCTCAAGCCCACCCTAGCTGGATAACCATAACTTACACATGCATGCACACATACACATATACATATGCACACACATGACCCTATAAAGACAACTTGCGTACGAGTTAGCTGGTCTGGTCTCCAGTGCAGACTGTTCCCTCACTGATTTGTTTTGAATTAAACCTGTCCTGCTGAACTTCCTACCCTACTTATTTTCCTTTTTGTCCTAAAAGGGGAAGTATGTGTCTCAGACTTGTGATTAGTGAAGGGTTCCCTGGGTGGACTGAACCTGGAAGGATGGGCAGCAGAAGTTTATTACATGAAGGGGCAGGGATGGCACTCTAGGAAAACAGCTATCTGCAAAGCCTCAGGGGCGAGAGACACAGTCGCTTAAGGAAGTGAATAAATTGAATCTGTCTGGAGCATTAAGGACAAATGGGAAACAGAACAGGCAAAATCAAAGGCCAGACAGACAGAACATGTTAAGGGATCTGGTGGTTAACCTAAGAACAGAAAACTATTTGTGGGAATCAATATAAGGGATGGTAGACAACCAGATTTGTGATTTTGAAGATTGCTGTTGCTGCCAAGGAAAGCAGGAGAGAATGGGGAGTCCAGGTAGAAATCTATGTAGGCGGAAATAATGGCAGGTCAAGACCAGGGTGATGGCATTGGAGATGGAGAGAAATGGATTTGAGAACTAGAAGGGGGTAGGATCACTAGGGAATGGATGTGGGGGAGGAGAGGGGCCAATGATGACACCCAGGCTTCCTGTTGTACTACTGGGACCGTTTCAGCAACAGTGGACATACTGTGTTTGGGGCATCTGTGGGACACATGAGTGGTGATATCTAAAATAGAGCCAGAAGAAACCTGGGATGGAAATGAAAGATTTGAGGGGCACTGGGATAAGGAGAGGGGAAGTTACTGAGGTGGAACCCACAGGACCTGGGAGCTGGACATCAAAGTCGTTGGCAGCAAAAGAGCTTGAGAAGGAGTGAATGGCCACCACTAATGCAGTCTAACCAGTTGAGTGGCTTTCTGCTGCCTGTTTCTGGAGTGTCCTTGGATGCCCTTGGAGAGATTTCCAGGTGAGTAGAAGGGAGCGGGGAGCTGGCTTGCTCTCTTCCTTTCCCACCAGTCCTAGCTCTGCTGGCCCTGTCTTTGCCTGGAGGCAAACTCTGACCTTTAGATCCTTCCCTATCCCCAGTCTTTCTCATTCCTAGACATCCCACCTAGGAAAACTCACAGGAAATGGTCTTGGCCAAGTAAAGCAGATGAAAGGAGCTCAACTTGGTGGTGCTTTGGAGGATTGGATCCAAGGACTTCCAAGAGAAATGGCTCCTTCTAAAAGACTACAAGGGAAGGAATAAGGGGTGGTCCCATTGGGTTTAAGAATAGGAATCTTGCCAGCTACTTGTGAGGCTGAGACGAGATGAAAACTCGAGGCTAGCCTGAGCCACTTAGCATTTATTTTCCAAAATAAAAAGGATCAAGGATGTAGTTTAGTGCAGAGGCCCTGGGTTCAATCCCCAGTACCAAACACAACAACAAACCGGGGATCTTGGCTGACTTGTAGACCAAGGAAACCTCTCCCACCCCTGCCCATGGCAGTCCACTGGATTCTGAAGGGCCTTGATGGGACCCCCTCACTGCCCTTCTTCAGATTCTGAACAGGCCAATAGGATTGACATCTGCCACCACACACTGTATCTCCCATTTAAGTGTCTGAATTGCCTACTCACAGCTCCGAAATACGTGTTGAGAAACAGGTATGAGATGCATGAGGGCCTGTGCCTGTGGAGAAATCACAACTAACGGCTGCCAGAACTGAGTTGGGGAACACATACCTCATTTGGGGGTGAGGAGATACATGCCGTGGGGAGCATGTACCCACTTGTTCTTTTGCTTTCTGCCATGAGTTGAATCAGCTTGAGCCCCTCACCAGAAGCCAAGTAGTTGTAGCTGTCTGATCTCAGACCTCCCAGCCTCTAGAACTAGAAGCTTTGTTTTGTTTTTGAGACAGGTTCTGCAACATAGTTCAGATTGACTTTGAACTCACTATGTAGCCCAGGTTGGCCTCAAATTCACCTGCTTCCTCAGCCTCTCCAGTGCAGGTGTCAGCCACTATGCCCAGCTTTAGAACTAGGTTTTTTCCCCCAGGGCTGGGCATTGAATCCAGGGCTTCACACACACTTGAATTATTGTTGCAGTACTGGGGATAGAACCTTCAAATTAAGCTACATCCCCCTTTTTTTTTTTTTAAAGTTTCTTTATTTTATTTTATTTTATTTTATTTATTTGAGAGAGAGAGAGAGAGAGAGAGAGAGAGAGAGAGAGAGAGAGAGAGGTGTGTGTGTGTGGCCAGCTCAGCCCACCAGGGGGCGGGACTGGCTGGCATGTGGTGCCGGGGGATCGAACCGCGGTCCCTGATGCCTTGCCAAGCTTGTTCTAAGTAGGTGCTTTAGACCACTGAGCCATCTCTCCAGCCCCTACATCCCCTTTTTTAACTTTGTAGTTTTCAGACAGAGTCTCACCAAGTTGCCTAGGTTGGGCTCAGACTTGTGATTCTTCTGCCTTAGCCTCCTAAGAAGCGAGGGTTACAGGCTTGTGCCACTGTAACCCCCCCTTCATCTTCTAGAACAATGAGTTGAATAAATCTCTTTTCCTCATAAATTCCCAATGTTGCTCGTTCTGTTACAACAACTGCAGATGGCCTATGATGAGTGGCAGGTGATAATTCTACACTGCAGCAAGATGACTGGCAGCCTCAGAAACACGGCTTCGTGGTAGAAAGTGGAGGACATAGAACCAGTCAAGCAGCCAATCTTGTGGCTTAGGCAAGAACAGCGGCTACCTTCTCCTTTCTCTTCCTCCATCCCAAATCCTCCAGTTTCCTATTTCTGCCCCTAATCCTGGCCAGGCCTCCACCTCTGAAGCGGCTCTTCCTCATCCCCTACTGAGGGGCTCAGCCTTACTGCTTCCCCTGCTTCATCTCTTCCCCTGGTGGCAGTACCTGTCTAGCGCAGAGTCTCCTCACACCACGTCCTCCAGCACTGCTCATGTTCCTCAGCTGGAGCTGGTGTCGGGTGATCTCACAAGTTCAGGTCTGTCATCCACAGGATGGCTCTCAGGTCAGACACCAAACTCAAACCTTGGTGTCCCAGGTCTCTCTCACGATGGCAAAATAGAGCTATGCTTAGGGCTTCCTCTGATTCCTATGGGTTTGATTTTTCACTAGGATGACTCAGTTCCCTGGCAAGCGCAAGGGCCTGAATTCAATCCCTGGTTCCGCCAAAAAAACAAAACAAAAAAAAAAGAATGACTCAGCACTCAAGAAAGCACTAACTATACTTAGGATTACATTTTTATTTTAAAGGATATACAGAGGCAAGATTAGGATGAGTCCCAGGATCTGCAATTCCATGTTTTCCTCCCTGGAAGTCAGAGTGTGTCCTTGTTTGGCACAACAATGTACACCAACTGAGAAGCTTTCACTGAGGGGTGTCCAGAATTTTTTTTTTTTTTTTTTTTTTTTGAGACAGGGTGTCTTGGTTACTCTTCTCTCATTGCTGGGACAAAATACCTGCCACCCAAAATGAAGGGAGGAAAGGTTTACTTAGCTCACAGTTACTGGAGTTTTTGGTCCATAGTTAGCTGGTTCCAAGGCAGACTGGCACATGGCAGAGGGCAGCAGTTCATGGCAGCGGCAAAGAGCAAGACAGCAAAGGGAGGACTAACAGCTACAATGGCAACAGAGAGCAAGTTTGCTTCTGTCTCTCTTACGTTACAGCTCAGGCTATCTGCCCCAGGCTGGGTGTAGTAGTCACACCCATAATTCCAGCAGCACTCAGACCCATAATCCCAGCAGTACTCAGACCCATAATCCCAGCGTTGGGTCATGAATTAATCACAAACTGTAGAACTGTGCTGCAATGACTGCATGAGGCTTTGGGGGACAAATACACACAAACCATGTTATAGGGTTTCACTATGTAGCCCAGGATGGCCTCAAACTTGCATGATCTTCCTGCCTTAGTCTCCCAAGTATTGGTATTACAAGTGTGCACCACCACACTCAATTCTATTGGGTTTTATTTTACTGACTTCGAGTGGGTCAAAGTTCCCACCCTCAGTGACACTGAGATCTTTCTGCTGTGGCCTATTTCATCCTGTTTCACCTCCTTAGCATAAACATTTAGAAGCTCGGGGCTGGGGAGATAGCTCAGTGGACTGAGTGCTTGCCTGGTAAGCACAAGGTCCTGAGTTCAATCCCCCTTTCCACCAGAAAAAAAAAAAAAAAAAAAAAAAAAAAAAAAAAAAACAAGACATTTAGAAGCTCACCATGAACTTAGCATAAACTACCAGGGGTCACTTTGAATGTCAAAGAAGTCCTATAATCTAGAAAATTTCAAAGATTTAATATGTCCTTACTGGGAACTAGGGACAAAGAATAATCATTTATTAGATACTATCTTTTTTCCCATAATTTTATTGATAAATAGCAATGAGACAGTTTCAAATCAAATCGGTAGGACAGTTTCAATAATTAACACACTGCATACATTCTTCTTAGTGGTTAATTGCTGTACAAGATGCGGACTTGAGATCCTATTTACAAACACCATTAGAATATATCATTCTATTCATTAAGAGAATGTACTATATAATCTATCCTAACCACTTTGACTACACAGATACAAAATGGACATTCATTTGTATCCCCTTTTTTTGTTAAGTTCCGTTATTTGAATATTATAGGTGTGTAAACTCAGCAAAATATTCTAAAAGAGTCCAGTAGCCCATAATAGCATTGGGTCTTCTGTTTAACTGGCAATGTCAGCAATTGTTGACCTGAGTCCCCTACAGCTCAACATAACACCATGGCTTTACTTCCTATATTTCGTCTTCATACTTTTCTGCTGGATGGTTAAGACCAAGGTAAAGCAGGACCTATGCAACAAGAGTTGTAGCTTTGGGGTCTGATAAGGTCAGTGAAATCTGCTCAGGATTTATTGTGAGATCCTGTACCTCAGGTTGTAGAACCTTTGTCAGTGTCAGCCATGTGGATGAGTCACGGCCATTGCTTGGCCAATGTGCTCTCTGTGAAAGCCTGAGAGAATGTTTTCTCTCCAGGTGACTCTCCTTAGGCACACTCTACATCATTGATCACTTTCCTCTTTGGCCCCATAATCTCCTTGATCAGAAAATTTGGGACACTACCGAGTTACATGACGTTACAGTACAAGTTCTCATATGTTCTGAGTCTTAATTGACCTTAGAAGGTTAGGGCCAAAATGTTGGCTTTCCTTGCAGCCCTTCATTTTCTCTACTTTTGGTCTGCAAACTTGGGTTGTTAACCATCCAGAAGACAAGCTTATTGTTATTATCAAACAACTTAGGCTGTTAAGCTTAACCTCACTATCTGTGTGCATATCAAACATCTTAGGCATAATATGGAACAGGTATTTTTCATCAAGTATTGATATGCTGAACTTTATGTCCCTACGGAATAACAGAATATGATAAAAAATTTAAAAATTAGAATATATTTTTAAATAGGCATAAAGAATTATATACTTCTCATGTTTGCACTTAAGTCCAAAAATCTCACCATATACTACCTTGAAGCAGGACAGTCCCACAATATTCCTTTTCCTGTGTTTTGCTTTCATTCACCACCCCCTTCTTCTTGAACATCCACCTACCCGAGAGACATCATAGGTACTATCTTTTAACTAGTTTGTTTATTATTATTACTATCATGATTTTGAGATAAGGTCTCACTGTGTAGCTCAGGGTAGCCTTAAACTATTTAGCCCAGGCCAACCTCAAACTCCAATAATCCTCCTGCCTCAGCCTTCTGAGTGCTGATATTACAGGATGGGCCACCACACCTAGCACTCTTAATGGGTTTGATAAGTAACCTCCTCTCTTAGGCAACCTTCATTCAATAAATGCTTACAGGCTACCACTATCTAGTTCATGGGGAAGCTGAAGGTGAAAGATACACATGTCTTCTGCCTTCCTGGTGCCTAGTGTTACGGTATAGCGAGGTGCCTATAAGAGCCATGGAGCCCACAGGGGAAGCAGTTAACCCAGGAAATGTTTTCTGGAGGGCTGGGGAAACAGCTCAGTAGTGTAGCACTTGCCTAGCATGCATGAGGCAGCACAAAAAAAGTTTTCTGGAGACATGAGCCTGTGCTAGCCAATGAAGTGGAAGGAATGTTTCAGGCAGGAGGTATAGCACACGCAAATGCCCAGAGGCATGAAAGAAGTTGACTCAAGGGACTGAGAAAAGTTCAGAGTGTCTATAGTAACCCAGCATGGTCGTAGGGACCTATGGATATCCCAGCTACTTGGAAGGCTGAGGCAAGAGGATCATTTGAGCCCAGGAGTTCATGTCCCATGTTCTGCTGTGGGCCTTGCACATAACTTCCTGTCTTTTATACAGCATCCATTCAACAAACATTAATGGGGCAGGCCAGGTGCAACTTGCTGAGAAGCCTGGATAAAAGTGAGACTTTTTATTATCAAGAACACCCCCTGGGCTGGGGAGATGGCTCAGTAGGGTAAGTGTTTCCCTGGCAAGCACAAGGACCTCAGTTCAATCCCTGGTTCTGGGGGGAAAAAAAACAAAACACTCCCCACCGAGCTATGTCCTGTGCCTTCCATCTGCTTCCATCGTTTGCTTCGGTAGCTCGTCAGCATGGTGAGCAGATTGAAAGCAGAGGCCTTTCAGGAAGCCCTGGCTGCTGCAGGAGATAAACTTGTAGTAGTTGATTTCTCAGATATGTGGTGTGGGCCTTGCAAAATGATCAAGCCTTTCTTTCATTCCCCATCTGAAAAATATTCCAACATGTGGCTCCTTGCAGTAGATGTGGATGACTGCCGGGACGTTGCTGCAGATTGCGAAGTCAAATGCATGCTAACCTTCCAGTATTTTATCTTCTTTTTTTTTTTTTTTAATTTTTTTTTTTTATTTGTGTATGTGTGTGTGGCCAGCTCAACCCACCAGGGGGCGGGGCTGGCTGGCATGTGGTGCTGGGGGATTGAACCGTGGTCCCTGTGCTTTGCTAAGCTTGTTCTAAGTAGGTGCTTTAAGACCACTGAGCCATCTCACCAGCCCCACCTTCCAGTATTTTAAAAAGGTGAAGAAGGTGAGTAAGTTTTCTGGCGCTAATAAGGAGAAGCTTGAAGCTACCATTAATGAGGTAATCTAACTGTGTTTTCTGAAGAATGTAACTATCAGCTGTTTACAACTTTTTATTTATTTATTTTTTCAAACCAAATTGGTAGGACAGTTTCAATAATTAACACATTGCATATATTCTTCCTAGTGGTTAATTGCTGTACAAGATGTGGACATGATATCCTATTTACAAACACCATTAGAACAAATTCCTCTATTCATTAAGAGAATGTAACTATATATCTATCCTAACCACTTTGAATACACAGATACAAAATGGACATTCATCTGTATCCCCTTTTTTTGAAATGGCAGGATTTTTTTTTTTTTCTTTTCCCAGTGCCTTCAGGGTAGGTTTGGCTGGCTTGAGTTGTGGGGATCGAACCACAGCAACCTGAGCCTGACTGCTTTGTTGAAGCAGCCACTTAACGAACTGAGCTAAGGGGCAGGCCCCCCTGTTTACAACTTTTAATTTTAATTTACAAAAAAATAAGTATGGAGACTATATACCCAACTGCCATCTGATTATAAATGACAATAAAATATTAACTCTACCCTTTAAAAAAAAAAAAAAAGAACACCCCCCACAAAACAAAGAAATAAAAAAGCCTCAGTGTAGTCATACATACTAATCCAAGCTGTTCATGAGGCTGAGACAAGAGGCCTGGAAGTTTGAGGCCATTTTGGGCAGGAGACCTGCCTACAGGGAATGTGGCTCTGTGGTGGAGTGTTTGCCTCACACAGGCAAGGCCCTGGGTTTAATTCCTAGCACCAGAAGGGGAAAAAAAAAATACCTATTTCATGGAATATGAAGAAGAATTGTGAGATATGGGCCTGCAAAAAGAGACTTGGGTGATAGTTACAGAATGCCCCAAACACAAGGACACATTGGTGTCCCTCAAACACTGTCTCCACGTGCTGTATGATTCATGATGGATCTCTGAGGATGAAGTTCAGGGAAAACAAAGAAGAGGATGTTTTACTTTGAATATTCAGCAGACTGATGTACAATACCTGGCAGCAGACTGTTGGGACAGAACAGTCCTGTTTATTTTCCTGAAACTGTCTTTTTTTTTTTTTTTAAATTTAGTAAAAGGTCTACAGGATCTCACTACATAGATCAGACTGGTAGTGATTCTCTTGTTTTCAGCCTCCCAAGTGCTGGGATTACAGGCGCACGCCACCATGCCCGGTCTCAATCACCCTCTCAGGGCACCCCAGAGATGGGGCTGACACCAACACCATAAGCCAGGGATTGAACCTTGGCCCGGAGTCTGCCTAAGCAGGCACTTTAATCCGCTGAGCTATCTGGCCGGCCCTATCCTGGAACTGTTTTAAGAGGCTGGAGGAGAGGGTTTCTTGTACATTGCCCTTTGTCAATGATTTGTACTTTCTAAATCTCTCAGTAAGTATGCTGTGCTTACTCAGTTCAGGGCTCAGACAGACGAGACCTCTCAGACCCCTGTGGTCAATTACATTCAGCCTGGCTGTTGTTCTTCTCAATGCCCTGATTGATCTACAACATCCATAATATCAAGCTTTTGTTTAGAAATCTGCCATAAAGCCCATTGTGGTGGTTCATGCCTGTAATCCCAGCACTCTGGAGGTGGAGGCAGGAGCATCACTGTGAGTTCAAGGCTAGCCTGGGCTACATAGAGTGAGAGCTGGTCTCAAAATCAATCAGTCAATCTGCTATACTCACTGTGGATTTCCACAAGACTGTGGACAGCTCTCCAAGGCAGACTGGGGAGTCAGCAGAGGCCTAAGCAAAGGACCCTGCTGTCTCTCATTTTGCAGGATGTGTATTATAGTATGCCCTAGCTACCCCCAGGAAAAGGGTATTTATGGGACAAAAGAAACACTTTTCACTTTTTTTTTTTCCCCACACTTTTCACATTTCTGTAGGGTTTTTTCTCTTTGCATTTGGAGGTGCTGAGAATTGAACCCAGGGTCTCTTGCATGTTTGGCAGGCACTCTACCCCTGAGCCACAACCTTAGCCCTTGCATGACCTTGGACCTTCCCCTGGAACATAGCACATGGCCAGGGACACATACTGCCTAGCTGGACTTCTTAACCACCAGTCAATGAACATGGGTAGAAAAAATTATATCTTTATTTTTGATAACTGCTTAACTGCAATTGTTCATTTAATTTCACTAATTGTAGGGTGCAAATTACAGTAATATTAGAAGTACCTGTCACTTTTTTGTCACAATAGTGATCATAAGAACTGGGCATGGTGGCACAGGTCTGTAATCCCAGCACTTGGGAGGTTGAGAAAGGAGGATCTCTGTGAGTTTCGAGACCAGCCTTGGGACTACAAAAGTGAGTACAAGGCCAGCCCAAACTGCATAGAAGACCCTGTCACAAACAAACAAACAAACAAACAAACAAACAAATAACCCAAGAGTGATCACAGATATTCCTGTATTATAGCTGTTGTGGACATATTGAACTGTGACTTATGTAACTAATTGACCCAACTAGTCTGATATTACATCTATTAGACTTGCTGTTAGATCTGATTATAGTATGGGATGAGGATATAGTTCGGGGGGAGAGCATTTGCCTAGCCTGAGTAAGGGGCTGGGTTCAATCCCCAGTACAATAAATAAAAAATACAGTTTTCTTTCTTTCTTTTTTTTTTTTTTTTGCAGAACCGAGGATTGAACTCAGGCCCTTGCACTTGCCAGGGAAGTGCTTATTCCACTGAGCCATCTCCCCAGCCCCTAATAAAAAATCAATCAATAAATTTATTTTTAGAAATTGATCCTTTAGGTTCTTTTCTATTCTCATAATTTATGATGAATTTTAAAAATCATTCTAGGGCTAGGGATGGAGCTCAGTATTATAGCATTTGTCCAGCATGAATGAAGATCTTGGTTCAGTTTCTAGCATTCCCCTCACACAGAGAGAGTGAGAGAGCGAGAGTGAGAGAGCAAGCCAAGAATATAGCACAGCAGCACAACCATCTATCTGACAAGAAAAGTCCTGCATTTGATTCATGATACTAAACAAACAAACAAACAACAACAACAAAAACAAATCAAAACAAAACAAAAACATTATTCTAGCTAGGGATCCATAAACTTTACCCAACTCCTGAAAGTGTCCATGGTATTAAAAAAAAAAAAAAAAAAGGCTACATGCAGAGCATGGTGGCACATGCCTGTAATTTCAGCATTTAAAGGCCGAGGCAAGAGGATTACCATGAATTCAAGGCCAGCCTGAGCTACATAGTGAGATTCCATCTAAAAAAAAAAAAAAAGTTTAAAAACCTTAATAGAAATGTATGTTGCTCTCTTTCCAAAGGGATGCTGGTGCTAGGTGTTTGTTATCTCTGCCTCAGGCCTCAGGCTCATCTCTTGGTGTCCTCAGAGGGAAGAGGGAAGGCTCTAGGACATTTGCTCCCAACACAGAGAGCATCAACGCCCTGCAAGGCAACAGGCAGGGGAATTCCCTAGAGGAAGAGTCAACCAGTTGCAGGTCCACTACAGTCTCTGGGCTGATAGCTGGACAGATAGACATACATCTCCTCAGAAAAGTGGCTATAGGCCATCTTGTACTGAGACTTGTCCCCTGATACTCATTATCCTACCATAGCTATCTGGGCCAAGGATTTCACAGATGGCTTGGAAAGAGATCAGCAGGAGACCTTGCCATGTGGGTACTTCCAGATTAAACATCAACTAACTGACCCAAAAGGAGATCCCATTTCTTTTTTTTATAATTTTTTTTTTTTTTTTTTTTTGGCAGAACTGGGGATTGAACTCAGGCCCTTGCACTTGCCAGGGAAGCGCTTATTCTACTGAGCCATCTCCCTAGCCCCCTAGATCCCAATTCTTGAGCATCTGAATCTGAGTAACTGGAGAGCCAGCAGGTTGAAGGCCCAGCAGAGGTGACAAAAAGGAGAGAGGAGAGTAATAATGGAGCTTCCTCAAGTCAGATTAGCCTTTTACCTCACTCTTCCAGAGGAGATCTGGCTGGATGCTTGTGCTTTTACCACCTGGAAAAACTCATCGAACCCTAACCCAAGAGCTCACAAAACTGTGGAGGGTCAGGAGTTCCCAGCTGCCCAAGGTCCACAGCAGATGTGAGACATGCCAGAGACAGTGAGGAAGTTGGGAGGCTTTCTCCTCAGTCTCCCTAGTAAGACCTCCTCTTACTGGCCCACAAATAGGTTTCTATGGCTGTGTCCAACACTAGGACCCTGATAACTTCTGTGTCCCTGGCAGTGCCTTTCCAAGGATTTCTGATCTGCTTGACTACTCACAGAGTAGCCAGAGCCAACATTGCCCTCACTGGGGTGTAGTGTTAGATGGCAAGTGGGCAGAAAGAAGAGGGACAGAGAGGTTGGTCCCTCACTCCCCACTGACAGAAGCAGCTCGGGGAAGGCCCCTCTAACCTGGCTGTCTTGGAGCACACCACGGGGTCCTCCCTTCCTTTTCAGACCTGTTGTACTTCCCATCCTTTCTGGAATTCTTCATAGAACAAATAAAGTTCAGAGTCTTTGCCCAGAAACAGACTCAGAATCAATACATCCATATCTCAATCTTTTTTTTTTTTTCAAGCTTAACATTTTATTTATTTATTTATTTTTTGGAAGAACCGGGTATTGAACTCAGGCCCTTTTGCTTGCCAGGCAAGCGCTTATTCTACTGAGCCATCTCCACGGCCCCTCAATCTTAACATTTTAGATATGAGGAAGAGAGGCTCAGAGACAAGTTCAATGCCAGCAGTAAGAAATGAGTCCAAGCACCTTAAGAGGGTTCCACAATGAGACTCTGTATCAAATAAATAAATAGATAAAATTATATACATAAAAAACTTAATGTGGGCTCTTCTGATTCCCTCAGTGAGCAGGCATTCTAATTGCTTTTGGATTTCTGTTCCTTCACATAGTGCCCAGAAGGTTAAGGAACCAATAAATATGTACTCTTGTTTTTTTTCTTCCTTTTTTCCACTTCATTAAATTAAATTATTAGGATCCACAGAGCTTCAGGAGGAGAATCCCTTGACTAGATCTTGGTTGGAAAGTAGATGCCTCCTGTAGTCCTAGGTGACCTCCTGGGTTCCAGGCACATTCATTAATAGATTTATTCAATCACTCAACAATGTATGACTGGTCTATTGTGCTTGATATACCTGGGCAGGTGCAGGGGATCAAAGATGAATGGAGAAATTAACCGGGAGGACAAAGTTGAACAAAGAACACTAAAAATCCATAAAAGAAAAACAAACAAGAGTTTAATTCATGCTTCTGTCCAGGTGTACTGGGAAGTCCTCCCACCTTGCCTCCCCAAAAGGAAGATTTGGAAGATTTGAGGGGGATTAGCTCTCTAATCCTCAATTGGGGCATCACTTTCAGGAAGATGTGATACCCACACCTAGCCCTATTGTTTTCCTAATTCCCAGAGCGGAAGCCTGGATTAGTGGTCTGGTTGGTTGCCCACTTGCATCAAGAGGCCCAACAAGCCCCTAAAACTATTCTTCCCTGTTTCAGGGCATTGTGTCTTTGGTTATCAACTGAAAAACAAACCGCTTTATCCTTAAAGCGGTCTCAAATGACCTTATAAGGTGCGAGTCATTTAAAAGTGGGATGGCTGGCGAGGATGGAGGGCATCACAAATCTTATATGAAAATCTGAGCTGTAAACCGGACCCAGAGGTCGCACCCGGCGCCCACCACCGAGCTGGGCCCCGGAGAGCAGCGCCACTGGGCTCCGCCCTCAGTGCTTGGGCTCCGCCCCCAGTGCTTGGGCTCCGATTGGCCGGCGCCATAGTAGGGCGGGGCCAACTCTTAAAGGTCCAGGAACTAAGCATACCGGGAGGAGGCGGTGGCCGCTGCGAAAAACCTAGTGAGGCGATGCCTCACAGTCACACGAATTTCTTTTAAACCTATGTGAAGCCCATCCCCTAGTGGCCCATGGAGCCCACAAGAGCCTGTCCACTTTTCGGGGGCGCCTTCTCCGCTATCTTCCCCCATGGGGCCATTGACGTAAGGTGAGAGAGCCCAGGCGCCAGTGGAGGCCGACTGGGTGGGTTGTGGGAAGAAGCCTGAAAAGCAACCAGGGCCTGCCTTCGCTCTTCCCAGCGACCTCCGACCGGTCCCGGACAACCAGGAAGTTTTCTGCCATCCCAGAACCGACAAAAGCCTGATCGTAGAACTTCTGGAACTGCAGGCCCACATGCAGGGAGAAGCGGCTGCGCGGTGAGGAAGGGGCGGGGGCTGGCCAATGGGAGGGTCAGAGCCGAGGAAATGGGCGGGGCCTGCTGCTAGACGGTTATCAGGAAGAGAACCCAAGGGCGATAAATACCGCGCAATCGGAAGTGAGCTCGAGTAGGGTTGGGGGATGGGCTTTGGGCGATGGCCCCTTCTCATTCTGCTGTCTCAATTCAGGTATCATTTTGAGGACGTTGGCCGGGTGCAGGGGTCAAGGGTCCTGCAAGTACAGTCTGTGCAGCCCCTGAATCTGGAGAGCCTGGCCTTGAGGGGCTGCTGTCAAGAAGCCTGGGTTCTCTCTGGCAAGCTGCAGGTAGCTAAGGAAAACCAACAGGTGAGGGCCAGGGAGTGTTGAGACGTCCTGGAGCGAGGAGGGAGTAGGCTAGGGATGCAGGTAAGCATCCTGACTCTGATTCATAGGTAGCAAAGGATGTGACACTGCATCAAGCCTTGCTGCGAGTGCCTCCATACCAGACCGATCTCTTGGTCACCTTCAATCATCCCCCGTAAGGAGGAAAGAAAGGGCGGGTACTTCGTGACTGGGCCTAGGCTGGATGGGCAGAGCAGGGAGATTGACAAGTGGGTCCTCCAAGGAGGCAATTGGGGGGCCAGATGCTTGAGTTCACAGATACCTGTGTCCTCTGGGGAACAGGAAGTGGGAACTTCCAAACCTCAAGCTTGGATGCTGTTCTTTCTCCCTTTGTCCCCTCACCCCCAAGCCCTGACAACAGGTCATCTGTTGGCCCTGAAAATCTGTCACCTCCTTCCTGGAACCTGGGTGACTTTGAACAGCTGGTGACCAGCCTGACCCTTCATGATCCTAGCATCTTTGGTCCCCAGTAAAGATGCTGAAGCACTGCATGATGCTGCTAAGGACTTAGGGATGCGGTTCTGGGAGGGAAAACAAAGAGGTTGAATACCTGGGTTTCCTCTTCTTCACCATGCACAAACACAAGACACCTCTGCAGAAATATAAACTTACTTTATAACCAATATAATTTCTATGCTTTTGACTAATAGCACACCCGGGTTTCCCCCATTCCCTTTGGCCTTGAAGGAGGAAGTTTAAAGCTGTTCATGGGAGCATTAGGGATCCAAGGCTGTCAATAAAGAGGGTGAAAATACACTGCAGAGTGAGTGATTCAGCCCTGAGAGAGGAGTGTGAAGTATATAAGGGTGACTGATGGGCATGAGAGCAACATCTAAGGAAGGAAACTACTGCCTGTAGTGATTCACCCTGAGAGAACAGATGGAGAATGGGGTTGGCTGTCCCTTTCACATGATAATAAGGTCAGAGGTCACCAAGATACTGTAGTGGATGCAGAAGTGTCAGTCTGGTGAAGTTTGGGTTAGTGGCTGTTATTTAGTGTACGAGTGGTAGAGGAAGCGCAGCTGGTCCCAGAAGAAGAGGGAGAGGATGGTGTGGGGGCCGAGGCGGAAGTAGGAGGCGCCTATACCCTTGTACATGCCAAAAATGCCCTCTGTCCGAGCTGTCTGCAGCAGAGCGTCCAAGATCCCCCGGTACATAAGGCCCTGGATCATGTTGGAGAGGAAGGGAGAGCACGGAAAAGGATCTTGTCAGAACCCTTACCCTTGCAGGTTGCATTGAAGGATGTCCCACCTGTCCCCACAATCTGCCTCCGCCCCACCCCCAGCGTTCCTTGCCTCCACTGCGGAGCACTTCCTTACCTTGCCCTGAATGTCTGTGGGCTGGTTATAGAGCCTTGTGCTGGCTACATCAAAGGGTGTCATGGCCAGAACTACTGCGATGCCACTCACCATCGCAGCTGCCAGAGCCACCTTCCAGCTTTGGGGAGGAAAGATCTACAGGATAAAAGAGGAAGAACTTTGTCAGTCAGCCAATCATTCAACCCCTAGGACAGGACAGGCTGTGCCCGGGGGGTGCTGAGTACTGTAAGTCTGAAAGCTTTTACTCCAGCAGTTATAACCCAATGTGGAACTCAGTGAAGGAAGGCGTCCTCTATGGGAGGAAAGGACAAGAGAACCCCATGAGAAGAGTCCTCAAGCCCTCCTGTTGTTCCCTCACATCTGCACAGTGACACTGTTGTCCCCCCAATTTGCCCACCCCTTCTTCCCGGGCATGACCCACCCCTTCCCAGGTAGTACCTCCCACTGGCTCAAGAGGTCCTTGGTGGAAGAGAAGGTGCAGAGCTGGGTGGAAGAGCCGACGACAACTCGGGGCAGGCCACCCAGGGCCCCGCGCCACAGCCCCCCCAGTCCATGTTTCTGGCCAATTTCAGTTAGCGCCTGAAACATGCCCTGGTAAGGGGAAGACCATGGGGTCGGGCTCAGTCATCTCACCATCAGGGGCTGCTGCTCCTAACCTTATCAAGGATTGGTCCTTAGCACACTTCTTATCCAGACTACCAGTCCAATCTGAGCTTAGAACCAGAATGTGGGTCCCCTGCCACCCTAATGTAGAGACTCAAGCATATTGTTGGGGCCGGGCAATGCAGCAGGAGAAACAGCTTCAGGAGATTTAAGGAACAAGCACACACGAAGCTCTGGGGGCTTCAGGGGCAGAGTGGGGTTGCACTGATGGGCTGGGCAGAGCAGTAGCCAGGGTGAGAGCTGCCAGGTGCAGGCAGAAAGCTGGGAGGAAATGGAAGGGGCTAGTTGAGCACTCCAGCAGCTCTGGGGACCTCTCACCTGATGCTTGTACTGATGCCCTACAGCAATTTCAGACGCTGCTTGTGCCTGTAGGTGTGTCTTCACCTGAGGAAAAAGTTTCACAGCTCATGCCCCACTGGCCATCTTCCCATCCTAGAGACCCCCTCAGACTTCCTTTGGGATATTAAGCAATGAATACCCTTTTAATCTGTTAGTTACTGTTGTTTCCACTTAATAAAGTGGTCATGAGACTTCCCTTGGCTCCAGTCCCAAGGAACTGATTGCTTAGCACTGCTAGATATTCCCCCCCCACACACACACATCCTCTTTCCCTTGGGCATTGGGGTAGAGATGGAGAGACTGGAGAATGGCAGTGTTTCTTTAGACAGTATTTCATGTTAGGCAAGACCTGGGTGCTAGGCCTCTCATGCCAGCTCCCATTTCCACATCAGAGCTGCTACTACTTTGGCCAGGCTCTGTCATACTGGCCAAAATGTGCTTTTTGGCTCCCAGGGCTCAGGGCTATGTGTTCAACTGACTGTGGAGTGTCTTTTTCTTTGCTTTTCTTTCTTTTTTTTAGATGCTTCATGTGATCCTCCCTCAGCTGCTGTAGCTGGGACTATGGGTGTGTGCTGCCGTCATACCTGGCTTAAGCTGACTTTCAAAAGGCCCTGAAGCCCACAACATGGGCTCAAGAGCAGGCTGCCTCCTGCAGCACATTTTGCCTTCTGCTGTCTTACTGTTTACTTCACCTCTCTGGGCTTCAAGCTTTTGCCACTTCACTTATATCTGATAATTCAAAGGAGCAGACTGTCCATTTGTAAATATGTGATTCCCCAGGGCCTTCCTGATCTCTACACTTGCTGATGAATGCTACTCAAATTGCTCATTTTTATCTTTTTTTTTTTTTTGTGGCCAGCTCAGCCCACCCTGGGGGTGGGGCTGGCTGGCATGTGGTGCTGGAGGATCACACTGTGGTTTGCCTAAGCTTGCCTAAGCAGTCACTTTAGACCACTGAGCTATCTCGCCTGCCTGCTCATTCTTATCTAATCAAACTCAGCTTCAAAATTAGGCAATATCAGCAAGGCATGGTGGTGCATGCCAGTAATCCCAGCACAAGGGAGGCTGAGACAGGAGGATCATTGTGAGTTTGTGACCAGCCTGGGCTACAGAATAAGCTCAAGGCCAGCCTGAACTACATAACAAGACCCTGTTTTAAAAAGCACCAAAGGCTATAGTCTTCATCACGATTGATTGAGTCCATTGGTTGGATGTATATAGGGGACATCAGAAGGCCCTAAATCCTGCCAGCACCTTACTAAAGCCCTTCCCTGCTTCCAAGGGGACAGCACCCAGCTGCCTATACTCTTGTGAAGGACCAGGTTCCCACTCTAGATGATGTCTGCTCCAAAGGCCCCAGGCAACACCCCTCTTCTTACCATGTAGATGGGGCTTCCCAAATAGGCTCCCATGACCCCGGCCAGGCCCCCAGCTGCAGCACTTCGGACAGGACTGAGGGTGCCTTCTGCTGTGTGAAGGTAGCCGCTAGAATCGGCCAGCCCATAGGTGCCCAATCGGATGCCATTCATCAGGAACTGGTACAAGAGCGCAGGGGCCAAGCCCTTCTGCAGGGCAGCCAGGCCATCCACTTTGCCAATGGTGAAGAAGGCATGGAAGACATTTCGGTAGTGCCGCTGGTAGGTGCCTGGGGCCTGCAGTTCTCCCTGTAACTGCATCCTGGTTTTCACAACCTCTAAGGGATTGGTGAACACACAGGCCCCGCAGGCTGCCAGACCACTCATCAAGAAGTCCATGGTGGGACAGCAGTAGCCTCAGGGGAGTTGGAAATCAGGTGAAGACCTCAGCTACTGCAGTCCAGGCTGCAAGAAGTAGGAATTTAGAGCTCTAGAATCAAGCGTCAGGGTCAAATGTCAAGAAGTCAAAGGAGAGTTGGATTTGGGGAGTGAGGGGCTGGCAAAGGAGAGAGAGTTGGGTGCAAGGCAGTCTGGCAAGAAGGTTATGACAGGGCCGTTGGCCAGGGGATTTGAAGTCAAGGAGAAGCAGAAGGCAGGAGCTGACAGGTGGGATGCTGGGGCTTGCAGGCTACGGGGGCGGGGAATAGAGAGGGGAAATGAGCGAGGAGGTAGAAGCCTGAGGGACAGGAAAAGAAAGCCAGCAGGAGGTAAAGGATCCGGGAGAAGATCCGATCGTGTCCCCGGGACAGCAACGACAGCTGGATCGGGAAGGCAGTCTGGACTCCAGCCTGTGATGAGCGTACCGAGGTAGCTACGCGAGCCCAGAGCACCTTCACCCGGGTTAGCCTGTGAAGGCCAGGCCGCCACACTCCAGTCGCTGGAGCGCGGCGCCAATCGGGACCTAGCAGAACGGCAGCCAAGAGCCTTAGCCAATCCGCGTCGAGCCGGCTCCGCGGCCAATGGGCGGCGCGCTGGGCGACCCGGCCCCCCCGGAATCCGCTGAAGCTGTTTCGGTAGAATTAACTCTCCCAGCCCTGGCAGGAGCCGGAGGTGCACTCGGGCTCCAGAAGGACCCCCCGGGCGCGGAGCTTCTGTCACTGGTGGGGAGAAGTTGGACCCTGGGTCCTCGGGTGGATACAGGCTGAGCGCAAAGTTGAAGGCGTCTGGCTCCCTTCTTTCGCCCTCTATCCCATGTCGTCTTGGCCTGGGGTGGCCAAACTTCACCTAGTCGGGGCGCCAGGGGCAGGGTGGGGCGGAAGCTACAGCTGGTCAGGGAGAGATGGACGAACCTGCCGGACCGGCCCTTTCTCCCGAAACGGAACAAGACGTTTGTAGGTTCCAGCGCCGGGTGTGGCCGGCTGAGGGCGCCAGGCATAGAAGCCTTGAAGGACCCCGAGGGAGCCTGATCCAGTTCTTAAGCCCTTTTGATCCTCACAGCTAGTGGAGGAGAGGGCAGGGCATTTGATTCCCTCTACAGTCAGGTGTGGAGTTACAGAGAACCCTGAGCTCTTGTTCTTTCTCGCGATTTTGGTTAATTTTGGTTAATCACAGAAGAACTTCCGAGAAGAAAGACTAGGGGAGGGGCCGGGGAGATGGCTCAGTGGAATAAGCGCTTGCCCGGCAAGCTCAGGAGTGTGAGTTCAATCCCTGGTTCCGCTAAAAAAGAAAGAAAGACTGGAGAAACTAGTCAGCAGTTGAGAGAAGAGCCTTAAAAAGGCGGTGGGGATAGGAGATGGTACCTCTGGCCTTCGTAAGAAGAGGCAGAGGGTTCTCCAGTCAGCTGCCTATCTGCGTTGCAGTTGAATCTTTCTTCTTACCATTTGGATTACAGAGCCAAATTGCTTCATATCTTAGAGCACCCCCTCCCCCCGGACCACATGTTCCCCTTTATTATAGTTCAGTCGGTTACCACAGATAAACATATTGGCTTAGGCAGGTCAACTGCCAGCCAGGGAATGCTCTGTGTCTCCCAGAAACAAGGAGGGTAGTGGGCACCGGGAGAATGCAGAAGCAGGCCTCTGGTTGGCCTCAGACCCATGGTGCATCCCAGAACTGACTGGGCCCTGTTCCCCATTTCTGGGCCCCACAGCTTACACGGACTCCCTTTCAGGAAGTGCATAGTTGCTGTGAGGTGCAGCACCTTAGGGCCTCAGCAAGCCAAGCCAGGATCAGGAGACAAGCCTTCCCCAGGGCAGCACCAGCCATGGCCATGTAGGTCTCAGCCAGGAAGGAGTGGGACAGGAAATTGATTGGAAGTGGCATTCAACAGATTGTAAATGCTAGGCTGGCAGCTAGAACACAGTACTCCAGAAGGATCAGAGGGACAAAGGGAAAGGGAGTCAGAAGTTGGACCTAGAGGCTGGGTTAGCTGCTCTCCAGAGAGAATGGCAGAGGAGAGAACCAATCACAGGATGAGGCTCGAGCCTGAAGGACCATCAAGAAGAGGATTCTGTGAGGATCTGAGCCCCTCTCAGGGAGGAGAAGCCACTGGAATATCATGCTCTGGATGGTATGAAAACCCTGGTACTGAGCTCCACATGGAGCGAGGGGGCCCATGCAGCTAGCCCATGGGGCCTCTGTCAGAAGGAGGAGGGTGGGGACAGGCAGCTGCCCCCTAGGTGATCATTCCACCACCACCACCAGCAGCACCATACCCTCCCTCAAAGCAGTGGCTCTTCCCTGCTTGGCACAGAACAGCCTCAGGCTTAGATTCACCCCCTGGATATGGGGTGAGGAAAGGCCAGGAATCAAGTCCTTCAAGCAAAGAACAACTTAGCAGGATGTGGCAAAACAGAGCTAAACTAAACCCCTCCTGCCTGCCTGTCTCACCAGAACCCCTCTTCCAACTTTTTGCTTACAGTGGAGATGGCACCTGGCACTTCTTCCTGGGCCTGAATGCAAATGCCCAGAGCTGTCCTGTGGCCAGGAGCAAGTGGGGCAGAGGCACAGGCTCCTCTCTTGAGAGCCCTGTCTCTCCGTCCTCTGAGCTCCCCTCCCTCCTGCCAATCCAGCAGAGGAACTACGCTTCCAGGAACCCAGTGGTCAGGCAGAGACCCCAGAAGCCTTACAGACCCAGGTGGACCAGGCCTCTGGCAAGCACCTGATTATTTACAGTTTCTGCTCCAGTTTCAAGGTATGGGTGACATCTGTCCAGAGAGCCCCAGTTCTTCAGAGAAGGCTGAGGAAGCATGAGGAGGCAGCAAGGAACTTACTCCAGGGGGCTGGAGGCAGAGACAGGAAAGGCATGGGAGGGAAAGGGTGAGCCTGCCTCTGTGACCAAGCTAAAAGCCAAGGAGACCTGGCCTACATTTCCTTTCTTGGGATCCAGGTACCCCCAGGTGCTCTGCATGTCCTGCTGCAAGCACCCTACATCAGGGCTGATACGACCCAGCCCCCTGCTGGCTTCCTGGAGCTGGGAATCCAGTCACACTGGGAATCTGGGCTCAGTCTCAGAGCAGATACAATGAAGACACTCAGCCTTAGGGAGACAAAAAAAAAAAAAAAAAAAAAAAAAAAAAAAAAAAAAACAGTGAAGAGAGACCCTGGGCAAGGGAAATGAGCAGGGGACCTGAAGGAGACAAGGATGGGTCCCAAGGTGCAAGGGGAGATCCTGTTTCTTCTCAGCAAGACCCAGGTGGAAGTGGATTTAGCTCAGGAGCCCCAGGAGTCCTGGGCCAGAGTCAGAGAGGGTGGCATGGTGGAAGGGGTGCTGGTTTGATTCTAAACGTACATTTAGCACCATGACAGGAGACCTCAGGGGCTGGGGAGATAGCTCAGTGGAATAAGTGCTTCGCTGGCAAGTTCAAGGGCCTGAGTTCAATCCTTGGTTCTGCCCCAAGAGACCTCCATTGCAGTACTTCTCAAGGGGACAGGGACACAGCAACCACAGCATGGGATGGCTCCAAGAGAGAGGTGGATATATGTATTCTTTATACAAAGTTGGGGGAAGAGTAAAGGAAGAAGGGCACCCTGCTAGGTCACCAACCACAGCCACGAGGCTGCGGTCCCATCCTATACCCTGGCCCATCCTCCAAGTGGATGTGGCAGGCTCATATCTCATTGGAGTATGTGTAGCTGGGGGTGGTAGAGTAGTACTGGGGCTGCGGCTGGCTCATAGCCCCCTGGGTTGCTCCCTTGTAAAATGAAAACGATGATGTCTGTTATATACCCTAAAGGAAGTATCAGACGTAGGTGGTCATTAATCAGCTTTCTTGAAAAGTTGGAGCTCTGTGCCACTTCCTAAAATGCCCCTTTCACACTTTCTGGTGATCTCCAAGTCACTCTTCACCTTTGATACCACCTCCTGACATGGGAGGCAACTCACATCCTGTTACTGGGTTTTGGGGTGCTGGCATTTCCTTCTGGAGGTAGTTTCTAGGTTCTGTCATAAGCAAAGCATTGGTCAACATGCTTAGGCAGACACAGGGGCTGGGGTTTGATCCCTGGCGTGCTGGCCCCATCCCCACCCCCGCCCCCAGGGTGCACTGAGACAGCGTTTGAGACTGGGTGTGGTGTCCTGTGCCTGTATACGTAGTGCTTGGGAGGCTGAAAACAGGAAGATCACGAGTCCAATCTGTATAGTGAGAATCTGTAGACCTTGTCCTAAATACAAAAAAAAGAACTGGTCAAGACCAGCACAAACAGTAGCAAAGTTTTATTAAAGGTCCTGTGATAGAGTCACATGGAAAGAAAAAACATTTTCTCAAGCTTTCACAGAGAGCAAATTGGTCAAGCAATGGCCGTGACTCATCCTCATGTCAGACACTGATAAAAGGATCTACAAAGTGCGGTACAAGGCTACAGGATAAATCCTGAGGGTACTTGGCTGACCTTATCAGATACAAAAGTTACATTTCTTGGTATATAGGTCTTGCTATATCTTGGTCTTAACCATCCAGCAGAAAAGTATAAAAATGAGGTATATAAAGTAAATCCATATTAATATGATGAGCTGTAAAAGGCTGAAGTCAGTAACTTCTGAAGATAACCCGCTAATATTATAGACTGCTAGACAGTGTTAGATTGTTTAGTTGAATTCAAACACCTATAGTATTTAGATACCAATAGAATATTCACCTCTGACAGGACAAAAAAAAAAAAAAAAGATACAAAGGAAAGATCATTTTGTATTTATATATACAAAATAGGATAAATTTACAGCTACTTTCGCTTAATTCAATGAGAAGAAAGAGATGTACTAACAGTGTTTGGACAGGATATCCTATCTAGGGGCCAGGGAGATGGCTCAGTAGGATAAGCGCTTGACTGGCAAACGCAAAGATCTGAGTTCAATCCCCGGTTCTGCAAAAAAAAAAAAAAAAAAAAAAAAAAAAAAAGGATATCCTGTCTGCTTCTTGTACTGTGGATAACCACTAAGCAGATAACAATGTACAGTGTATTGACTATCAAAACTGTCCTATTAATCAGCTGTGAAACTGTCTCATTCATATTTATTTCTCAATAAAAAATAAATATATATATAAAAAGGTCCTGTGATAATTGAATGAGTCAGTAATAGTCCAGGTTCTTGTGTATCACAAGGAAAGAACTGTCAAGTAGACACTCAAGTAGCTACATTTATGGAACATCACAGGGAGGGTAGCAGCTGGAACAGGGAAAAGGGAAACCGGGCCAATAACTCAGGCTTTTAGCAGTTAAGGCCATGGCTTTAGGTGCCTAACACTGCATCTCACTGCTGCCTAAAGTTTTGTTACATTATTTTAAAAAGTCTCTTATGCTAACAGAAGCATGAATAACCATAGGTTGCTGTTTATAGTTAAATGAAAGAAAGGGTATGACTCATTCAGCTCCTCTGTTTCTAACTGTACTAGTAGGGGGAAAAATAGGCTGTGCAGAGCAAGTTTGGGCCAAGTGAAAGTAGGAAAAGAAGTACATCCCACAGCTGGGGGTGGGGGGGGGGAGAGCCACCATGGAAGAGCAAACCTGGTGGCAAAATGTCAATGTAGATGACCGTCGTTTTAGAATCACCCACTCCTTAGGCTTCTAGGCCTCCTATAGAAAACTTGCTAGAGTTCTTTTTTTTTTTTTCCTTTCAGAACTGGGGATTGAACTCAGGCCCTTGCACTTGCCAGGCAAGCATTTATTCTACTGAGCCATCTCCCCCAATTTTTTTTTTTTTTTTAATAATTAATACATTGCATATTGTTGTCTTCTTA